ATTCCCAATCAAATTATTTATTTGTAACAAAAAATCTTTGATCCAAGTCGTGATCGGGCGCCATTACGCGCCCTGCGCTTGCGCAAGATCGCTGATAAATCATTGTGGCGCTTCTTGATGTTCATTGGATGCAGCTTTGATTGATGGAGGCAAGAGGTCCAGTTTATCGACTGTTTAGGGGTCCAGGGTCCGCGTAACACAGTAATGATGTTCGCTTATGACTTGAAGAGGAATAATGGGAGTTACTATATGTTTACGTTTAGCTTTTCTTACGTCTTTTAGTGCTATGATTGGATTTAGTTTGTCTAGTGATGGCTTGACTGTAATCGATTGCTTGATTAGCTGAATATATGAATATAGGAAGGTATTTATTTTCAGCAATGAGATGGTACGACTGTGGGCGGTGGAACAATAATGAAATCTACAAGATTGGAGTAAAGGGTACCCACGATCTGATGTCATAATTAATTTTGGATAAATACGAATTCGTATTTGACTTTGAGGCGAACACGTAAATTGTTAACATTTACTTTTCTTAAATACCCTTTATAAAAATCTTCAAATATTTCTGTTATTAATCAATTAATAACATTCTTTAATCGATTCGTCACGCCGATAACGAAGCGTACAAAATCTATTATTTCGAATTAATTTTATTGTATGAAATCACCCATCGTTTAGTTAAAGATTCGATACGAATTAAAGACATTCGCGACGTCTGAATATTTTAATTGAATCGCACGCGCAGGACAGATACCGTATTTTACGAACAAAGCGTGCATTATGACGATGTCTATTGATTACCGTTATTGGTAATCGATATTCGGATGTTTGTATCGATTGTATCGTGATCGGGCGTATCGATTATGGGAATTGATTAGGTGTGGGCGTGGTTCCACTAACAAGACCGGCCGAACTCGTGTTTGTTTAATTACTCGAGATTCCGCCTCCCGCGTCGTCGTGTTGCCCTGGTACTTTGTAACAGAATGCTTTGCTTCTGGTCTTCATATAAATTACTGTTGATATCTGTACTTACATTATGTATGTGGTATATGTATGTTTGTATGTAGTAAGCATATGGTAGCTAGCCACGGTTTTCTATTCAATTAACTGTAGCTAATTGGTTTTGTCTTTTATCCACACCGAAAGGTTGCTGTATGCTTTCTAGCATTATGAATACCGTTTTTTAATTAATAGATAGATACTTTTTCCTTATGAAGAAACGATGTGCATAACCTATTAAATTTCGTCATCCATGATAGATGGGTCTTCGTCATAATGTACTTATTATAAGGTAAGGGTTATTAAAGGGTAAACCGAGAAATATCCCTTAATTCTCAAAAGGCCGGCAAGTCGAAACTCAAGCTTAAGCAAACCTCTTTTACTGTTTGCTTAAATCAATTTAAAGTAATTTAAGTTCAAACTTAAAATATTGCGCATACAGTCTCCATTGTACCTATCTAAATTAATTGATACAAGGCACAACGTGTAATTAAGATGAACATAATTTTGTGACCTGTCTTTTCATAATCTTCTCATAAAATGTTAATTTTCTGTCACAACAGACAGACCCGTTTCACACGGTTGTATTCTAGGACGTTAAAAAACATACAAAAATGTTGTTTTCTTTCATATTTTTTGTGTGGTTTCATAATTAGATTTGGCAAGGAACCACCCCGCTCGGCAACCGCGAGTTGGTGCAAGTTAAAAGCGATTTGAAATAAAAAAGAAGCCGAAAAATTCTTTACAGGAAGCATATGCTTGTAAGGTCACTTTTAAATTAGATTAAGATAATGATATTACACGATTGTACGTGCTTTGATACTTTTTATAACGGTCGCGGTGGTACTGAAATGGTGCTTGTCAAATTTAGGCTTGAGCAGTAGCAGAATGGTGTCAAAGTTGTTATTGTTGTCATGGTACATATTATTATGCTCAATATGTCTGCACGTTAATTTTATATTCCCTGTTTTTACAAACAATTTCTCCCTTTTTTCCTAAAAGCTATCATCGACAATTACCTAGGTAAAATATTTGTTACTTTTATTGAACTTGTTTTGTTTTGCAGAATAATTTTTTGATTTCTGTTACTTAATCGTTTCTGCCTTATGACTTAGACCACCAGATAATAAGCGGCTGTCGGGAGGCGTTCCCTGGTAGATGAGTTCGGGAGGATAAAAATTCGATTACAATTAAATTACCCCAACTCATATTTATTTTTCATTAACATCTGATTTTGGTACTCTGAGAATATTATTTATTTGCTCATAAATATTCTTTTTAGTGTTTTACTTGAATTCCAAATACATATCTGGATGCTTAATATAAATTGTTGGTCTATGTTGACTGGAGAGTTGATACTTATTTTTTTATTACCGTAACCTTCTTTAATTTTGTGGTGAAACCACTTGTACTTTACGCCATCAAGTTCAACTTTTAATAGAATTGCCTTAACCCAAGCAATGCGCCATGGTAAAGGTCAAGAAAATAGTAAAAAGGTTCACTATACTGTGGAAGATTTAAATCCATGTTAAATTATTATATTTATTTATATTGTCTGCGAGGTGGTAGATATTCATGAATAGGTATCATAAAAACATATGATTTTGTTCTTTACAGCCCCTGAAATTCGTCAGGTTCTAGTTTATTTGGTGATTGGTGCAAAACCGCATACAAATATCAGTTGATGCAGTCCAAATTGCAAAATATGTATAGATTCAAGAATGGATAAGAAATTCGACAAATTATAAATCTTTCTACAATTTATGAAATGTCACAGCAATTTGTCACAAAATAACTGAATAATCAAAAAACCATTACATTAGAAATTAGCTACAACCGATTTCTATTCCTGCTGCAGAACGGAAAGTACCTAGTCATTAAAGATTTTAGTAGAAATTTACAAAACTAATAAACGTGGGTCACGGCTTTCTTTTAATCAAACGACGAGTTAATTGAATTTTAGATTAATGGTTAATCGTAAAATCATAAAATCATAAGCCAATCGGATGCGACCCACGCACTGCCCACGACGGGATCTAAAGTAATTGCATGTTATTGAATTACAATTTAATTGAATACGATTATGTAATTAATGTAGGCTCCATTGTTACCGTGATGAATGACCCGACCCTCAAACGGTAAGCTGCCATATTTTTCAACTCTTGACATGTAATAAGGCCCTGATTGATGAACGGAAACGTTGAAAGGTGAATGTTATTTTACTGAACGAAAGTGGGGCCTATTGAACTAATTGAATGTTTTGAACTATTGTCTGTATGTATGTGTGTCTGTGTATTTGATCGATTTTAGCGTACTACTATAATACGCTTCGTTATCTGTTATTGCTGATGTGTTTAGATATTTTGGAATGTTGATTGATTTCTTTTCTGTAATTCATTCATGGGTTTTGTAAGAATATTTTATTACATACCATTTGATATCTGCTACTTGTACTTTCAAATGTAAGGTAGCATTCTCCAACCATATGTGATTTGTCTTATGTGTACTTACTTGTAAGTTAGATAAATCTCTAATCATTTAGAAGAGGTCTTTCTCAAAACATAGGTGTTTTGTTACTGATGATAGAGGTTATGCTTATAAAAGAGAGTGTTTTAAGCCCTTGTATCTTAAAGAGTATAAATAAAAATGACAAGTAAAAGGTTTCAATACTTTTATTTTATACAAGATTATTCATATAATGTCGTTTTGTTTAACCTTTAACAAACAGTTGAAGCGAAGACAATGTGGTTTGTGCAGCTATTAAAAATTTCTCTTTAACCAAAACTTCGTGGTTTACATTCAATACTCTTTGGTGCAACTTAAAAAAAAAAAACTTTGTTAAAACAAAATTTAAAAAAAGAACGTGTCAACTTTAAAGTCATTTGAGTAAATAAATGGCAACCGACACCACACGTAAACACAGTCGAAATATTAAAAAAACATATGCTTGTAAGAACCACACAATTTTATACAATTTAAAAAAAGAATTAAAGTCATTTATGTGGTTGTAGACTCATTTTGCTTTAATTTCTGTATTTAAAATAGATTTTGCATGTGTACTGAAGGTAATGAATAAATAAAACAATGATTTAAATAGATAATATTTATGTGAAAAATAATACTTTTTTTATAAGTAATAGCTTACGGGTCGCCTGGTAAACGGTCTCCGTAGCCAAGTACACCTGCAACACCTGAGGCATCAGGAGTGCTTTGCCGACCATGTAAGAAATTGTCTAATTACGCCATCATTTTAAGAGGGAGCCACTTCCGAAAAAAGGCACAAGGCATGGAATCTTCTTATTACTTATACAATGATCACTTGAAAAACTTAAGATTACTTATCCTACAATAAATTACAATAAGGCCTATAATGGACGGATTTGAAGTAACTACACCTTACATTATAATATTAACATAATAAAATGTACTATTTCTTTACTACAATAGTCATCTTACAAGGCGTTTAGCCAAAATATAGTATACCTACGTAAACATTTTTATAACTCACTGGAACTCGTTTCATTTACTCAATAATTAAGTACGTATAATTGTAAATAACTAAGTACCAGAGCCATTTAATTTTGTTGTCACTTTTTGTCATTATCTTGAAGAAGTATTCCAAGAGGTCTCCCAGTCGAGTTTTTAATTACAATTAAGATATCTAACTGGTTCCCAGTATTTATATTTACTAGCCTTTTTAAATACTTAATTCTGTCTTCTCATTTCATAGTTTTATCTGACAATGTCAAGAACGCAAGGGACAATCAAACTTCTAAGAATTTACGCAAAAAATGGCGACGTAAAAATGAACCGTAGCGACAAAAAGGAAGCAAAATTCAGTTATAATTAATTCTTTCATTACAACCTGATTCCCGACATATTACAAATAAGTGCCAGCGTTCAACGTATCTAGATTTGTTCACAAACCAGCCTTGGCGAAGGTTCAAGCTTCAATTAGGAAACCGGATTCGAGTTCTCCGAAACTGGACGAGGCACGTTCAACTAATCAAGTCGGTATGATGCCTCTGTCTTAATATTTCTAATCTCAATTCATGTTCTCTCGCCGCCATCCTGAGGGCAGCAATACTTGAGCTTCTTCTTTCTATTTCTGGAGCTGAAGGTTGGGTTGGGGGTGATTCGCTTCCAGGGGAGATTGGGGGTGAGACTGGGGGTGGGTCTGGGGATTGTCGGGGTGGAGCGGCGAGGCCTGCTAGGAGGGAGTGGAAGGGAGGACTGCTAGTGTATAGGGGAGCACTGAAGAGTGGCGGTCGAGGGAGAGGAGCTCCGAGGTACTGCGCGCCCAGGACTGGTGCTCCAGCGTATCTGTTGATGAAAAAAAGCGATGATTAGTTAATGTCAAAATATTGGTCCTAATTACAACACTTTATTGAACGCACACATGATGTCCATTGCTGAATAAAGACTTCTCCCAAACACTGGCATTCAGGCTATACAATACTTAGAAAAATCCAAAAATAAGACAGATAAAATGTTCCATAAGCTTATAGCTTACGAATGAAGCTTTAAGGCATTTGCGTATAGGTACCTATGATCTTAATAAATACTTTCTATTTCAATATTTAAAAAGCAATAGAAATTTATTTATATTTTACTAAAATCACTCAAATGCTTACCTGAATTGCGCCAAAGCGTTCGTATCGAAAGGTTTCCTGAACCCAAAGCCCAGCTGTGAGAATGGGTTGGGCATGGAAGCCACAACGGAGGGAGGGGGTGCCCCCGCCGCCCCCCCTAGGTACGGGTTGTAGGGGTGCGCCTGAGGACCCACTTTCTCCTGCTTTCGCCATTTTGCACGTCGGTTTTGGAACCACACCTGAAAGAGATGGATCTGGTTAGAAAACTGAATCTTTTTGATAATAAATGAAAGGTAAAGTTTTAACGGTTTTCACCTGACGCCTTACTACAAGTTTGTTTTACGTTTAAAGTATTCGAAACGAGTACGCGTTCGGCGCTCTGAATGCCAAGCACGAATAACTATCGCATTCGTATCGTAACAGTATCGAGCGAGTTAAGCGTTCTGATTGGTTGGTTCACTTGAGCCGGCCAATCAGAGCGCCGAACGCGCTCGATACTATAACGTTACGAATGCTATAGTTATTCGTGCTTGGCACTCTGATTGGCCGGCGTCAATATACCAACCAATCAGAGCTCCGAACGTGTACTCGTTTCGATTACTTTAAACGTAAGACAAACTGTAAACTGGTACAAAGGCCTCCGTGGCCTATTTTCGTTCGGCAACCCTATGTCGTTGTATAGAGATGTGAAGTCAATATGTTTTAAGTAACAAACATATTGACTGTTATATTCTGAATGAAACGGCTTGAAATATGGACTTCTAGGATATAAATTTTCCTTTCATACTTATTAAATTACAAATAGTACATTTACCCGATTCTATTCTCCCATACATTCTTCCAATGCTTTTTATGAACAATACCCGAATAAGTAAACTTAAAGTACAAAGTACTTGAATACCTCTAGTTTACCCACGAGTGATTATATTGAATAATAGTTGTTAAATATAGTTTTATTGAACTATATGTTGTAACCAAACATGTACTTTAGAAGGCAATAAATAACAGTATTAAGTTTTTCTTTCAACATAATAATCAAGTGTTACTACTATATATTTTATTTAGTACGCTATTAACATTATTGCGTAACGAGAAATAATTCTACCTTTTTAAATAAATTATTTGTACTGGTATTGTAACAATGCCAATTATAATTTAAAAAAGGAATGTTTTTTTATGGCATAAACAATTAAAAAGTTTTAAAACAATACAAATAAAGATCAAGTAAGATCAAGAAGACCAGTGGCATAATGTGCACCTCTGCCTACCACTTCGGGGATAAAAGGCGTGATGTTATGTTATGTTATCAAGTAAGTTACTTTTACTTGGTCTAATGGTCGCAAGCGTAGTTATTGAGTGACAAGCTTTTCGCGTATATAAAAAGTAGCGTATATTAGGCACTTTCCTTTTTTATAGTATAAGCCGGTAAAGTAGCAGACGGATCACCTGATGGTAAGCAATCGGCGTCGCCCATGGACAACTAGAACACCAGAGGCATTACAAGTCCGTTACCGGCATTTTGGGGATTAGGAATTTGCGGATTGTTGTAGATTCAAGCATTGGGGAGATTAGGGCAGGGGGGGGGGGGGTAATTGGGCCTCCGATAACCTCACACACACGACGAAGCACGAAGGAGTTGTTTCACGTCGGTTTTGTGTGAGGCCGTGGTATCACTCCGGTCGAGCCGACCCATTCGTGCTGAAGCATGGCTCTCCCACACTCCTAAATACAAGTACTCCTAATTATCTCCAGATACAAAAATCTTACCATAAAAAGTCTCGCATTTATAAATTATTATGTTAATTTTGTAAATAGGCCACATTGCACCTATTGCTTGTACAAATCAAAATTATAAAACAATTATAAATAATTTTGGAAAAAGTATAGAAATGATATCTCTATACTCGAGGAACTATGTATTGGGGTTCATCAGGAAGTTCATTTCATAAAACTGTATATATAGTAAATGTAGGTTAAGGAATTTATGACTATTATTTGTTGAACTATACTAGACAAATAGTAATTGATTTCATAATACCATAATAACAAGGAAAATAAATATTATTTGCCTATGTCTATTATTTACAACCTATTTGTTTTTTTTTGCAATTTGGGAATTCCTAAAGCGACATAGCGGGCCATTGTTTCCATTTTAGTTCGGACTGCTATGTCCTATGTCATTATTTGCGTAATCATTGTTGAAATACATGGTAACTTATTATAAATATTGAAAAACTGGATGGTATTTAACAGTTCCTTTACAAATATACCTTACAGGCACATACATATTCTGTTTACGTCGAAAATCATTCCGACTAAGTAATTGGAGTTCATGAGAAAATTGCGGGCCGAAACCGACCAGACTCACTTTCATGCAACATATTAAAAGAAAATCGCCTTTAAAATTAAGAACAATTATCACACGTATGTAACCTTCATGTTTAAAAAAATACAAGCTACCACAAACCGCAGCATTATGCCAATGAGATCATTCAATTCACTCAAAATATTGAATTCTGCTACAAAGTAATAAAACATGTCGAAAACCTTAAACTGTCTTTTACATTGTAACCACGACATATGTGTCGTAAAATATTGCGAGCCAAACATATATTTATTATATTATAACAACAATAAATTATTGTTCAACCAACTCATGTATATTTCATAATTTCATCAGATGTCTTTTACAATTTATTTACGTTTTTTGAGACGAAAAACAGTGGTCCTTTGCACCGAACGTGTGGCTAACGAGGACAAACATGTCACTTCTTTACCACGTCAGTCTGAACTAAGCGTTATTCTGATGCGAATTACACAAGCTAACCGTTTTTCTAATAGAAATATGTCCATTTAACAAATATAAAGACGTTAGGTGCGTGTCGCGCGCCGCGCCTGATTTACGAGCCTTTCAATGAACAAGCGGACACATAATATCACGTCTCTATCGATATAATCAACTAGAATTTGTACAATTATACCCTACAGTGTTATTAAATTTATAATTACACCATTCAAACTGACAACCATCGTACTTTATTGCCAACAAAAATCCAGCTTTTTACAACAAAAAGTTTACAATTCAATACTTTAGTAAAAGGTCGATTATCATGCCATGAAATATTTATGCACTTACAAAAATGTTGAGAAAGAGAAAAAAATTCGTCACGAACCGTACAACCATTATGTAAACTGTTATTTTTATGGCAATTTAAATTAATTCACTTATGATAAATGGCGTATTGTAAAAAATTAAACGCGTTTCTGTAAATGTCGATGCGGTTTTAGCGGATGCTGTGATAAACAAGAAACGTTTTATGTTTACGGTTATGGCCGGCGTTATAAATTGAGCCTTAATGGGTAGATGTTATGGTTGGAATTTTTGTGTGGAGGTATGATCTATTAAGTTTACAATGGCCATTACGGATATGACTTCATACGGCGTTGAGGCCGCGAATTTATAAATGTTGTAATTGGTGGCGGGTTGGCTGACGGCATGCGGGTCCGGTGGGTGCAAAAAGGCACCGACTGCGTCCCAGGTGCCGTGTTTAATAGCTTAACAGAGTCGCGCATTAAGGTAATGACCACGTCGGCCGCGCGGTACTACGATCGACTGCTGGAGCGCTAAAACTGCGCAACAAGCTATTGCTGCGCCCAGCGGGGTGCCCATAAAACCGTTGTAGATTTTATAGATACCTCGGGACGTGAACCACTTTGATATCTATTAAAACGTCGACCTTCTCATGATTATGGTTTCAATGTACTGACTAACATATTCTCAACTAGTTTGTTTATCAATTTGAAGTTGCTTTTGCTGCAACAAGTTACAAATGGTGAATATCCCGAACGTTGAATGCAAACTTTTTCGTAATTCAATGTCCATTATGATATTGAGTTTTGAAGTAAATGCATTTAAATTAAACAAGTACAAAACAACACCTATTTATTTTGCATATGACTTGCTAAACTAAACAAAACCTCTAAATATTTCGGCCAAAAATCCACATTCAAAGCGTAATCTTAGCGCCCAACCGCGCCATGATCGAATCAGCTGGTAATAATACAAGAAAATTGCTAATGATCTCATTTAATAAACAAGGGTTTGAAAAATACGCGCCTATTACTTAAATCGATGGTAGCCGTTTGGTTTTAAGGCAGGGTAATACCTTATGAGCGTCGTATCATGTTAAAGTGTAGGGTAATGTAAAGATGTCGCCTCATTCGCCTCTTTTGCCTCATTCGCCACGTTAAGCGATGTGATGGTCATTACAGGGACTCATGAATTATTTTGTCTGTTGGGTATGTTTTGTTGAAAAGAGGAATGTTCATGTACAAGTACGATAGATAGAAAGTTAATCTGAAGTTAATAAATATATCTTCGTTGTGTTTTGTGTTTGTGTACAAAATATTACATTCCTCTGTGTAGGTAATCTTTGAACATTTTTGCTGTCAGTAATTTTTTTTTTAAGTGAGGAAAATCATCGAATGACTGCTCCCGCCTGGGTGAGGCGGGAGGGAGTGTTTACTGTGTAACTCTTACTGACTATAAACCACCCCGTTCCTTCTCCTGCACGTCGAGCCGGAGCCCCGGTTACCCGTTAGGTTCTCCGCGACGTCAGTAAGTGGATATACCAACTATAGAAAAATAAGAAGAAGAAGAGGAAAAAGAAAGATGAAGACGTATCTTTTATTCTTGTGTGAGGTGGTTGTTGTTTAGTATCATTTTGAATTCAACTAAATTATTTAAATAGTTACTTATTACAGTATCTACCTATAAGGTAGTGTTCTGTGATTGTGATGTGTCGTATAAATCCAAAATCCAAAACATAGCTGACTGAGAACTAACAACCACATTTTACATTGATATTAAAAATAACACAACAAAAAGCAAGAAATAAGCAAATAAATTATTTACTAAAACATATTTTAACATTTAGAGAAATGTAGATTTTCGTTCAAAAAACTATTAGTTACGGAACTATGGTTCATAAGTTCTATCTGATATTGCGTATAATGTTTTTATTTTATGTTTTTTGTGAGACCACATTACGTGTCCCTGTCGTCACCTAAAGGTGGACTATTCAAAAACCCCTCAGGCACCATATCACCTTTATATAATTGTGTAATATACTTATGTACCTACTATCATAGTAATCGATTACTTATATGGTCTCGATAACATGACACCCCTGCCTGCCCCTTCAGGTGTGAATTAATTAACGCTTAATTTCATGTAAGT